TTGTAGTTGTAGTTGTAGTTGTAGTTGTAGTTGTAGTTGTAGTTGTAGTTGTAGTTGTAGTTGTAGTTGTAGTTGTAGTTGTAATTGTAGTTGTAGTTGTAGTTGTAGTTGTAGTTGTAGTTGTAGTTGTAGTAGTGGTAGTGGTAGTGGTGTATTATTATTTTGTTGTTTCCCTATTATCATTATCCTCCGTGACGATCTTTAACGTTAACATTGCGAGAGCTTTCACGTCTGGTGAATACGACGATGATGATGAAACGGCACAATGAAAAACATTTGAATTGTTTAATTTACCAAATTTCATGACGCTATAAACAGAAAAAAATTTAGTGTGATTCTTATTTAAAAGAAAAAGATGAGTAAGTAAAATTTTCTTACTTAAAATTAATTATAATTTGACATAACGCAGCTGTCCCGGGCGGCAAAAGATGATAAAAGAAAAATTTAAACAATTGAAGCCATTTATTAGGTTTTCTTTGACGGAAATGGTCATTTGAAAGACTCGCAAAAGCCATGATGAGTTGTGACAGAAGTAGTATAGATAGGATGACTACAACTTTTGTCAGCTATAAAAAAATTGGAATATATGATATAGTTACTTTCTCAAAAAAAATATAAAAGTGAGAATAAAAGGCCGAATAATTACATTTTTTGAGACTGACTTCACTCCTTTCAATTTTGAACTATTACGTTGTAGTTCTTCGTCCTTTTGGATATTCTTTATATGTGTCTCGAGATTCGAACGCATTTTAAACGAGAAAAAAACGAGTATGCCAAGAAATAAAAGCAGCCAAAATGACCATACAGAAGCACTTATTGTCGAGAATTTCTTCTTTAATTGGGAATTTCCGATATCCACGTTATATCCATTAAGGAATGCAAGTGGAATTAACGAAAACCCTGATCCTACCATTAGGAAAATGCTTATAACGTCAATGGTGTATTTCTTCATACGTGGAAATTCTGACATCGAGTCCGGGTCAATGGCAGTCCAAGAGTATACTAAAGAAATTTCAAATATTAGCTAAGGTGAATCAAATTTCGTGTAAAAAATTTATGCTTACTTATTCCAATTGGGTAGAGTACTCCTAGAGAATAGCCAATTATTGAAGGAAGACTTGCGCACACTAAAGTATATTTGACGCTCGATAGTCAAATATTATCATTGAATAAGGGTAAAGTCATGCTATCAACTACATAGAAATTTTTACCAAATGCCATAGTCAGACTTGGATACGCGTCATTTATTACCAGAATAAAATGAATAGCCAAAACTAAATAAAAACAGTTTGAAAATAATATTCTTTAAATATTTGTGACTCGTATTTTCCTACTCTGACGATTGACCAATCAAATCACAAGATATGAAATATTAATTAAAGTTTCGGTTAGATTTAGCGTTAGCGTTAGTCAGTCAGTGTTAGGATAAAAAATGAAGAATACAGTAAATTATACGAGGATCATTTTATGTTAACCATAAAAAATAGAAAATACGTATCGGTATCGAGATATAAGCTACGTATTTTCGAAATAAGTGTTACACTGATCTTGCGATTTGATTGGTCAGTCAGGGAATCGGTACTTGAATAAATATAATATGTACATGTACTTACGCAACGAATAAATTCCAGAGAAAATTTGAAAGGCATGTTGAGGTCTTGGTCTTATATATCCTCTTTCTCTTGATGCAGGAAAGAACAATGGTCCATTTATAGCGAGAAACACAACCGAATTGAACATCATAAAAACTAGCAACACGAGGAATACTTTCTCCGTGGTAAGTAAAATGTTTTCGTCTTCACATCCACGAATGCTTATATGAGGCCTATAACAAATACAATATGTGTCATTGTTAGGCGTTGTCATGTAATCTTTATTATAATCAACATATTCATCGCTTGTTTTGTTCAAGCATCTAAGAGTTTCATTGCTTATCAATATAACCATATCGATATTATGTGAAAAATAAAAAACTTTTCAAAAGATTTGCCGCGAATATTTTGAAAAGAAAGTTATTTATTGAACTTAGGATAAAAAATTGACACATGCATTAGATAATCAACTATATATACTGCATCGCTATCCAAGAGAAAAAACAAAAAAAAATTTAATTTAAGTTACACTACTAGCATGCTAAATTATTTAGGTTTCATTATTGTAGTTGTTGATCAAGTATCTATCTATACGTGGGAAGTTTTAAACACGCATTTAACCAATCAATTGATTTTGTGTCATAATATCACATAGTTAAAATAGTAAATTTCCTGGTGGTGTCACTAAATTTTTTGTACACGTAATACGGTACCCTGATCCTACATTTATTTATCTAAGTTGTACATGTATATATATCTAAAAAATTAATTTAAGCATGTCTTTGCATAATGTTTTAATTGCTTACATTTTTTTACATATTCTTTACTACTATACATAGTTATTGTTGTTGTTAGCAGTAACGTTTTTGTGTGTTGTAAATTTACGGCATCCTGTAACTGGCTGTAATATTGGTGTGACTATAGAGGGCTTGACTCTATAGGATTAAAGAATATTTATCGTTATATGATTATGCATAAAAAAAAGTTAAGTTAATAATTATTCCTAGATTTATAAATTAGATATTTTAGTACATGTAATTTATCGTTATTATTTATTGGTTAGTTTAATTAATTAATTAATTTTCTTATCTTAAATTCAAGTAATTGTAGATCAAATTAACGAATAATAGTTATTGAGTGATTTTCGGTCATAAAATGATCTGTACAGTATTTAAAATAAATAAAAAGCAGACTTCATTTAAAATAAAAATGTTTAACGTTAAGTTTCATAAATCCAATTTAATTAAAAATAAAAATACAACTAAAAAAATTCGAATTTCCTAATTAATTCATTCAAGATTATATGTGATCAAATTTTCTATGAACAAATGTGATTGTAGAGAGGGTGTGACTATGTACATATACACATGGAGGGACGACTGTATTATTGTTTTTACAAACTACATACGTACATTCCTACGTACATTCCTGCTTATACATGTATATTCATCAGATTTATTTTGATTATTGATAATGCAAAATCAAAATATTTATTAGATAAATGGATTTTGGTCCCGATCCAACCAAAACTAGCAAAATCGTGATTTATCAAGAATAAATAATTTCATCTTTTTATTATCTTAGTATACTCTCGATTTATGATTTTTGTATTGTAATTTAATAACATATTTAACATATTCTTTTTAGGTAAAAAAGGAAATATTTTATAATGATAATATCTCTTTCATTCTGTTTGTACGTATACATGTACATGTACTAAAATAGAAATCACCAAAATAAAAATCACAATCAATTAATGAAATCAATGAAAAGAAGCTTAGAATACGTAGTGATTTACCTTCATTAGAACCATTTGGAATATGCAAGCTGATGCTTCTAGCATTCGATATAATTTCTACGTTTTAATATGAAATGTCAATATGATTTATATTTAGAAATCAATGTACCTGTATCAACTGGAATTGAAATTAATTTTTAGACAAATTCGACTAATGTGGGTTGATTTGTTATTTGTAAGAATGTTTTTCGGTGATGTCATCTCTTCATCTAGTTCTTTTAATTTCTGTCTTTCTAATCGTATATTTCTTCATGTGATTTAGAACGTATCGGTATTATATCTGGACCGGTAAGTCTAAAATCGGAAATTTGAGCATTTTGTGATACTAATATATTTCCAGGGTGTAAGTCACAATGCACAAATCCTTCTTTGTGAGCCCTGCGATAATATTAAGTAGATATCTTAATTTTCCCTTCCATTCCAATTTTTCGTATTCGCGACTAATATATTCGCGAAGGTCTCCGTTTTCTGTGTAATCCATTTACTGACGAATATTTCATTGTAGTTTGATTTCTAGTTATTCAATAATAATGTAAAAAAACTTACGTATTTGACACTTATCTCGCTCGTTTATAAACTCAAATGTAATTTGGTTTGAATTATGTAATGATTTCAATTCTATTTTTTTCATAATCCCACTTACGATCTATCGGTCCTTCCAGCCAGATGGCTTTATAAACTGTTCCAAAATCTCCTTTTGCAACATTAGTAGATCTTTCAAATGGGATCAATTCGAAAAATATTTTAATTTTCGCGTATTTATTTATTGGACTATTGATATCTTTATTTTTGCTAGACCATTCAGCTTTATGAAATTGGTAGTGATAGTCAACACATTCACGGCAGTACTTATTTTCTTGACAACGAGCACATTTACTACAATTATGAGTATTCGAGTCTTGATCAAAGCTATCTGATGAATTTTAGATGCCATCTTTTGAGTTCAAATGTTTTTAATATAATGATAATAAATAAGATACATAACACAATAACGATAACGATAATAATTCTTAGATGATGTATGTACATGTACGTATGCATAAATATACGCATTGTGTTATAAAGACACCAGAAATTCAGGTTTGGCTAGAACTACGCTCTTAAAAAAACAAACAAATTATAATTCTCATCGAATTTTCATATTCAGTCAAAGTTTTCTATAACGAAGTGCATGAACCGATCCACTGCCTTCAGTATACAGTATAAAATATTTTATATGTGTAATATATCTGTACCGCGCGAAATTTCTTCGCTATATAAAAATTCGGTATAGAGCACTTTAACTTTAAATGCATTGAACTAGTGATTCGGGCTATATAGTTTAGGAATTTAGGACGAAAAAGGCATAATTATCTGGCGTAATATCTAGACCTTGGACGAAATATCAAATAGTTTGGGGCACTTAAGGACTTGCATATTATGTAAAAAATCAAAAAAATCATATGAAAAAAATAAACTCACGAAGAAATTTCGCGCGGTACAGATATATATCACACATATAAAATATTTTATACTGTATACCGAAGGCATTGGATCGGGCCATGCACTTAACTATAGAAAACTTTGACTGAGTAGGGAATTAAATGTGCTTTTTATTGAATTCTTGCTATGATAGAACATGTTATTAATTAATTCGTGTTTATAAAGTACTGTATATTGAATGTTAACGATATTGGTATGCTTCTCTTTAACAGATTAACGAATAATGGCAAAGTATTTATAGTACATAGAAGTAAACTTATTAATAAACATAGTATATCGATATACGTAAATAAACGATGACAATTTCGTAGAGAATGGACCCGGGTTGCGGTCGTAGCTAACCGGGTGGATGTGGGTGGATCAACCCGTTGGTTAGTTCCAGGTCGAGTTGATTTGCTAGGCAAATCTAATTCAGCATCAGAATTTGTTAATCTATAATGTAATATGATAAATCAGGGTTAACTTTAAATGCAGGAAATCAAATTACCTCTAAAAGAACCTGTTTGGCGCCTGAAATAATGAGCAAATTATAATGGTCTAATAAAATTTATTAGAAATAGTGAGCACAAATAAATTTTTTTATGAAATTCATAAAATTCGGGAACAATGGGGGGGGGGGGGGGGGAAAATCCTTACCCCCTCTGTATAGCCGAGTAATCCGCGGATTCAACTGTCGGGTGACCAGGGGTTGTATTTGTTTAGACGGGTCCAATCTCTACAATTTCCGAAACGAAAATGACCATTTATCAAAAATGAAGACAACGACATCGATATATTCATAAAATATAATTTATTTCCCTTAATGCCTGAACTGATTTTCTGTCAATCTCTAAATCACTCTTACTCTATCGCTATAAATCTAATTATCCGGCTCAGTGGCTTGTTCATATTTTTCAACGATAAGGATTAACGTTAAACGCGCACGTAAAAATTTATTTGTTTCACATGCTAGGGACTTACTTAAAAGTTTCAGATTACGTACTAACGCTAACCATATTCGTAATAAATCTTCTCATGCACAAATACATGTACACTCGCGCGGAACAACACGTTTTGTGAAACGAACATGTGGGAACGCCTGCATTGACGTGTCCTGTACGTACGTAGTATGTTATCGTTATACTAAAATTTCAAGTTTTTTGTAAATAAAATATGTAACTTGAAATTTTAGTAGAACATACTACATGTACTACAGAACACACGCGGAATTCATTAAACTACAAAGCATCAATCAATAAAAGTTTTTGAAATAATTTAATTTCTTTATGTATAATTTTCTTAAAAAAATTTGAAAGTTAATATTTGCATATTTCGAATTTATAAAATTGGAAGTTTTTTCATTAGTTTTT